CTAGACATTAGGAAAAACTTCTTCACCGAAAGGGTTGTCAGGCTCTGGAATGGGCTGCCCAGGGAGGTGGTAGAGTCCTCCTCCCTGGAGGTATTTAAAAGAAGGATAGATGAGGTGTTTAGGGCCATGGTTTAGTGGTGGGATGGCAGGGTTAGGTTAAAGGTTGGACTCGATGATCTCAAAGGTCTTTTCCAACCAAAGTGATTCTATGGTTCTATGAACAAGGCTGTTTTCAGGACAAGAAGGCCCTTGCCTTTATAAGCCTTTATAAGCACTTTTCCATTACTTTTCTGGCTTGCTAGCATTAGTTTCATAGTGTATTTAATTTGCCAGTAGATGGGCTAGAGACAGTACAAGTATTGTAAAATCCTCTGATTTATCCCAGGGGACACTCTTCCAGTGCAACAACTACAAAAAATACCAGCAAAGGTGACGTCACAGGGCCTCCAGACAAACCCTGCCATAAATGGGGGTTGGAGCCTCCAGAGTGTTAGAGAAAAGGTACAACAGGTCACAGGACCAATCTGATTGCCAAAACACCAAAAGAAAGGCTATAGTCCTCAAAGGGTAAGCCACAAATCTGGCTACAAGCTCTCTCTTTTTGCCCGTATTCATGAACTGCAAGTTCTGTGCTGGGCATCTCAGAGGAAAACAAAAATATCATAAATAAAGGATTACAGTGATGGAGGAGGAATAAATAAGAGGAACGGATGAATACTTGAGCAAAATGTTTCTTATCAGGGTGCAATGAAAGCCTGCAGTGGGCACAAACTCTTGCATGGCATCCAGCTCTCCCAGGTCTGGAGAGGACTTTCTACTGAAATAACATCAGAGGAGAGGAAAACCATGAGTGTTTCATTAAAAGCAGGCAGATGTCTTCATTGTAAATAGTTTCCAGTTCACAGAGCTGCTTCAAACATCAGGGGTGGCTATGTGAGAGCCCATGTGCCCCAGGAGCGCAGCAGGCACGGGCGCGATGGCAGAGGCAGGGTGAGCCATGCCGTGCCTCAGGCTGGGCTGCTTGGCAGCGGTGCTCTCCTGCCACCGCACAGCTGCTCCTGACGATATTAATTTCTACCAGTACCCCATTTCCCTGCCTCACTAACAGGATCCCCTCACCAAGAGGCAATAATGGGGAAGAGAGCAGTTACATGCAAGGAGAGAAGTCTTGCCAAGCAGAACAGCAGAGTCGTTTTCCAGATGGTTGTGCTGTTAGCAGATCCACAAGTTGAAGGCCTAGCTACCTTAATATTATTGCAAAGCAAGCATTTCCAGGTTGCCAACAAATGAGGAGGTGAAAAAAAGCATATTGACCTAAATCCCCTGTGGGTGGCCACTTTGGCTTTCTGCTCCCCTCTTCGCCTGTGCCCTGTTGACTCTGAAGCTCCCACCAAGTCAAACAGACAGCAGACAGTTTGCAGGGGGTCCTTTCTACCCACCCTTTGTGCCAAACTATCTCCATCTTCTCAAAAGATACTTCACGTTGGAAATCACAGAGGTCATTAGAGGCATTTGTGTGAATTTTATGGTTATCATTATTCATTCACTTCAAGCCTGGAGTCCCTTTTCTGTAGCTAAATGCGGGCGATCATTACTTTCACATGCTCTGCCAGTTATCTAGCAGCAGAGAGGTCTTTCATCTTCAAGGATCTCATTTTGTTGTATGATCAAAGGTATTTCAACTTCAAATTAAGAACATTCATTACTAACACTCTCTAACTGAAGTAATGTAGGTTCAGGAGAGCTTTTCCAGGGAAAATAAGTTGACTGGTTTATGTGGTGCGCTGCCACACAAGAGGATTCACCCAATGTTAACATGCCTCTAAAAGCTCTGAATCTATCTATCTACCTGATCTATCCTGAATCTGGTTTTACAAATAGAAGAATGTTGTTGTTTGGTGTTATGCTTGCAGGCAATTTTCTTTAGTGTTGCTGGTGGTAAAATGTGTGTGGTACTGGGAAGTTCTGGCTCAAAAAGAGCCTAAACTTCAGCATAAATTAATATGATTTCCGTAATAACAGCTAACGAGATCTGACAAAGCAAAATCAAAATGCACAGGGAAAGGGATGACAGGAGAAAGTGTGCCTGAAATAAACTTCAGTGTGACATAGTCATACCCACTCAGACTTTCAGCAGAGTAAATTTGTGCAGCACTGTGTGTTCCAGTGGCTAAACTGCTGTACTGGGCATAGCTGACATGAAACTAATCTAGCTATCTGTGCACAGTACTGCAGCGTGCAAGGCAGAGGGATCCAAAGGAAGAAATTCACTTAGATAAAATTAAACAGAATTTATGGAGACCCCAGCTGAAAAAGTATTCATGGGAGAAAAGATTGAAAAAAAAACCCTAGAGTTTGTGAGAAAGAGACAAGTGGTACAAAGCCTATTTTTCTGACACTGTGGAAGATTATGTATGCAATCTATAGAAATCATACATTTGGGTTAAAAGGGGAAGAGTTTGTCACTGGTGTGGAATTCCCCAAGGCACAACACACAGGCTCTGGGGACGTGCTCCCAGGTCCCTCACCTGCCCTCAGTTAGGTCACAAACCACCCAAGTTTCACATTTGTCTGAAGCTATTCCCCAAAGATTGCTGAATTTTCCTGCTGTGTGCTATTCACACAAAATACTCTGCTTTGGACAAGATATTAACTGGTTGGTTAACTCCGTTATTTGGAGCTCGCTGAGTCTATTGGTGCTTATGGGGGTTGTTCTTCATATAAGGCATGATTTTGCTCTGAAGAATAAATGATGAACCACTGGTTTTAAAAACACTCATCATTAAATAATCATTAATTTCTTTGTCTAGGTGAGGCTTGGAGGAGAAAAACTACAGAGAGGAGAAATAAATTCCCAGCGCCAGCCAGTAGCTTGCTGGGAGCTCAACAATGAAGCCCTAGTCTTTCCCTTGTACTGTCTCTATACCCTCATGTATATGCCAACACAATAGTCAATATTGTCATAAAAAGGTGGTCAAGGAGCATATATTGTTTCTGTCCTCTTTTGAGAGATCATATCACAAGTGATACAATGCACTTTTGATTATTGCAAGCACTTATTAGGCCTGTGGAAAAAAAAAAAAAAAAAGAAGCAAGAAGTCTTTTTGAGGCTTCTTTGAAATTGCAAATTTTCTCCTAGTTCCTCACTTCTCCTTGCAGAATAGTAATGTGTCAGTTCCTAGCTCTGGCTGTCATAAGAACAGAATAATAAAGGGTCTTCTTTGCTTTTAAATCAGCAGATAATTATTTTGGCAGTGTGCTACGTGTTACGGTGCAAGCAATGAATATTTCCAAAGCTGTCCAGCATTTTAGAGGAAGAAGAGGCAAACTACTGGTGTCTGTTTGGTACTGTAACATCACCTGTCTGGAAAAGTCATGTGAAGAAAGCTGACTATTTGCCCTAGGGAATGGGGACAGGAGTTGCCTGACCCCTAGTCCAGATTGTGCCACAGAGTCACTCCTCACCCCTGTCCTGCCCTTTGCCTCCCGCAGCCTCTCTTCTCTTCACCTCCAGTGGGAATTTCCTCTGGGCAGGAATCAGCTCCAACATGTCAGTTCAATGTTCAGCAAAATAAACCTTTCAGTCTCAGGGACCAGAGCTGTTGTTGTATTACAAAAGCACAACATCACATCTCAATGCTGAGGCACATCTCCATGCCTGCAGCCCTCTGCTCCCCCCGACAGCCCTCAGAACCAGGGACCTGCAGAGGGATGCTGGGCTCATTGCACCCTTCTGCAGCCCCCTGACAGACACAAGTTCAGGCTGGTGGATCTGTTTCCTTTTCTCCTTCTGTACAGGAACCAGTAAACCTCTATGCCCAGGAAGCCATTATCATACAAGTTTTTAGTGTCTGCTCATGAGTGCTGGAGGATTGAGGAGCTCCTGCTCCCACACAGCTTAGTGCTCCCTGATTTGGACACAGCAGAAACGCAGGTACTGCTTTCACCAGTTCAGAAAACCCCACGTGCAGACAGAAACCTTGGTACTGGAGGGCATCCTTTATCCCAGGTATGCTAAGAAGCTCAGTACTAAACTCAGTTAAGCAGTCTTAAAATCCCTTGTCAGTGATAGGAATTCAGAGCAGCTGGATATGCTGTTCAATTGAAGTTATCCAGGGAAGCGGCACACTTCTGCAGGTACACCTTTCCTCTTAAGAAGTCGAGGAACCAAACATTGCTTATGGATACCTCAGCATTTTTGATAAACATGGTTTGAGAATAGTCAGCCTAATTTATGACATTTCCACAGCTGCCTTAATTGGAAGCTGCAGATCCATTTCTGCATTCATCCTGAAGTAAAGAGGCCTTTATCTCCATCCCTCGTTAGCTTCAGGAGTCATGCCACTGAAGTCAATGGAATTGCAAGGGAGCAAAGCCAGCATAAGCAAAACCAAGCAGAGAATGCAAACCAGCATGACTCACTAGCTGAGGAAGAAGATGGATTTGTCAGGTGTAAAAACTAGTAAGGGCTGAGTACAACTCATAGATACCCAAACCAGTTTGGGTGGCGGGAGCAGCTTACCCGAGCAAAGCAAAATGGCCGGAGGGGAGCCCTGTGCTGCGCTGGCTGGGCTGCTCCTGGTGCTCGGTGACCCTGCCGGGAGCAGGCGGGGGTATCCCTGCATCAGCCGCTGCGATGGGCATGCCACAGCAGGGAAGCACGAGGGGAAGTGAAGCAAGCTTCTCTCCAAGCCAGGATTCAGGACTTGGCTATTTTTTCAGTTTTGTGAATGTATCCAGAATGAACAATAAGACAAAGCGCATTCCAGTCTTTAGGGCATCTGTTTCAAAGCATCTGCCAGAGTTTCTTCTGACCTAGAGAGGGAAAAAGAATAAAACAGGACTAGCAATCTCCACTGCACAAGACTCCGGTTGGGTTGAAAGTATCTATGTTCTCAGGCATTCAGATGAGGATGGTAGTATATGAAGAGAAATAGGGAGAAAATACAGCTTCTCACATCTTTCACTATACAAAGTACTGACATCTTCCACTACATGCTTGATTATCTGTTTTCAAATACTTATGTTTACTTTTAATGCCAGATCTGGATTTTGGAACAGCACATTTTCAAATGAGCCTGAATTTACCTCATAAAATAAATAGTGATGTAATATAAATTCTGCATCTCCCTGAAAGTTTTTATAACTTCAGGGGACAAATAAAAAAGACGTTTTCTTGAAAAATGTAAAATTTATTTGCTTTTGGAAGGCAGAAATCCTCTCTGCTTATTAAGGGGCTTTGTAGAAACAATTTGACAGTGCACGTGCTCCAGAGACAGATTATGCCGAGACACCAGGGCATTCTCAGTTCCATAGCATTCTGATAATGGATTAGTACACCGGTGCTTAAGTGCACATTTTCCCTTATGAAAATGAAGATGTGATATATTGCTCCAAAATATGGTACCAGGAAGGATGTGCTTGTTACAATTGGAAGTATGGGAGGAAGAAAATCCCTCGCGCTGTGCTAATATTTTCTGATATATGTTTAAAGCAAGTTCCTATTTTTAGCAAGCCTCCGGAAACTCCCAGTTTCCCTGAAGACATAATAATCGTATAACAGAGCCAAGTCAGGGAAGAAAACAAGTTATTGCTCTTAGCTGGCATTGTTCATATATTTTACAGCAAAATAAGGAGTTAAGATAAAGGACCATTGCATGTCCATATATGAAAAAAATTCATTGATTTACATGCGATCAGCTGATGATCAATACACCCAGAATGTGCATTTAACAGAAAACACGGTGAGTAATGGGAGGAAATGACTGCCGCGACCGCCTTTGTGGGTGCCCATGCTGAACACCTGCCTTTCACCCGTGAGATGGACGCCTTTCACTTGTTGAAGCACTGGAATGTGACGGCTTCAGCAGCAGCACCTTATCCTGCCACCGGCTTCTTGCCTGGGCCAACAAACCTTCCCTCCGCATTGTTTGCTTGCTGTACTGGAGACTTCAGTTTCGGAGCCTTCCACCTCTAGGCAGACTTCAGCAGCTAAATTTTCTGCTGGGTTCCTTTGCATTAAACACTAAAATCCACCTGCTGTTGTACAGTCAACAGGTCAATGGGACAGAGCAACTAACTTTGTTGAAATAAGTGCTTTCATAGGAGGCTTCCCCCTGAAAAGTTAGCACAGAAAAAATGTCAAGGAGACCAATCAGCTGCCCAGCAGGTTGATTTAATGGCTAAGACACACGATGAGTAGCTAAGGAATCGTTACCTCATCCTGAAATAACCCATATTGGACTACATGTTGATCTCAGGCTACTGGGGAATAACCTGAGGAATAGCACAGGAACTAGACTCGGACTTCTTTTCCCAAAAAGATAAAAACCTACCTCTGTAAAATTCAAGTTTGGCTCTCTTCCTTCAGGATGGGAGTGGGTTTGAAGGCACACCTTCCCCGAGGCCAAGGAAATGGCAAGCATGCGTGGTTAGGAAGAACCAAGGCAGAAGGTGCTGGGACCTCGTGCGTGTGTGCAGCTGCAGCCTGGCTGATGGCCGGCACAAGGCTTTTTTACCAGTGGGAGAAGAGGAGAATAATCACATCACTAGCCCAGTTTAGCACCAAATCGTGTTGCTGGCTGCTGGTATGTCAGGAGAATATGAAGCAGCTGTGGATTCAGAGTCCAGTTTAACCAGCACTTGTGGTTGGATGCAAATTCCAACGTGCAGCCAGCTGAGGTCTCTTTGTTGTGGGATACAAGGGTGCATCTATACACGATGGCTGAAGCGTAGGCACAGAAATGGACTCTACCATGGACAACACATGGTGGCTCAAGTAAACCAGCACTGTGATCCCAAAATCTTTAGCAGTAGGCAGCTAGTGTGCCTTGATCCCTGGGCTATAACAGGCCTTAGACCTAAGCTGATGAAGCGAGTTAAGTATCTTCTCCCTTTTGGAGTTTGAACTGAAGAACAGCTCTGCAGCCACGAGGGGCTGAGCACAAAGTGCCCTGGGGAGAAGGGCAGGATCTTCCTCAGGCACCAACTGCAAAGGCAGGAGCTGGGAATTGCGTGGATGAAGCCGTGTGCATGGAAGCAGAGGGGTTACCACGAGACGATGGGCAAAGTGCTGGAAGAGGACCCAAAGGGGATGGCATGACAGAGCTCTTCCAGGCACTGTCTGCAGAAGCTGGCTCAGACCTGAGGAGCAAGGAAACTCTTCCTGCTTAGTTCTGCCATACTCAGGGGAAAGGATATTTTTTGCTAAGTAATTTACTTTCTCAAGAAATACCTGGCTGCTCTTACCTTCCCAGGGGAATCATCTAGGACATACATACTGAATAAACAACAAAAGTTAGTAAACTACAGCATCATAAAACTTGGTAAAGTTTGTGCATTTTAGCAAGCCTTAAAATACCAGTTTTTGTGTCTTCTAGGCATGCCTTTGATGCCACAGTTTCTGAAGCATCTGGCTTCTAAGCACTGGCTGCCATGATAACAGACATACTTAGAGTGTTATGCAGCTTGACAAAGAGTCACGGTGTCACACTTTAGTTTGTATAAATTGACATCTTGCTATTAAAATTAATGGAGCTGCACAGCTTTGCACCAGTTGAAGATGTAGCCCATTAGTTTCAGTTTCTAAACAGAAAGAACAATGCTCTGGTATAAAAAAAATATCAGCCATGGGCATTTTACTTACTGCTTTCTAGTATTTTAGAATAATGTGGTAAGGAAAAAGTGTTTTATAGAATAACCAACATTGTTTCTCTACTCTAGCATTAAACATTAAGCCAGTACTGGGACAATGTAATTTTTTCTATAGTAATCAAAACAGGTGTCTAAGTCTTAAGGAAGAACAAAACATTAAAGAAGACATGCAAGTTCAGTTGTACAATTAATTCCTTCCATTTGCCATAATAGATGCATTTTTAAGCTTCTCTATCTGCAGAGATCCTTTTTAACAGTGCAAGGAACTAATCAGAGAAACCATAGGGACTCTTTCTCAGTGAGTTTCTTATTGAAGAGTTATATTTTCAGAGCCATGTTTTTTTTCAAACTCTGTTGGTATCTTCCCAAGGATACTGATGCTTTGCAGAGAGAAATTGCTTTTGTGTTGCACCAAAGAGAAATATGGTCCACAAAGAGGAACACTGTGCAGCTCAGCAATACTGTACTTGTTCATACCTTACTGAATGTATCCAAAATCTTCTTTTCAAAAACTCGCTATGTTCCTCACACATGTGTTTCTCCTATATCAAGAATCAAGAAGTTCTAAAACAGTGCTCTGATAAGGCAAGAAAAGGTATTCAAACCCTGAGTACAACTTATGGCCCTTATGAATAAGATTGTGAAATGATGCAAAAAATGTACATATTTTGTACATGGATTTGTGTGTGGAAAGTTTAGCTGACAAATAATTAAGCTAAAATGCTAGACACAAGGCAATTTTATTCTCCAAGATACAAAAATATATTGGATAGGGGAACATATATGTCATAGATCTTTCTACCCTACTAGTTCAAGATTATTTTTCTATATACATTTTAGGACAGTGTATTAAAGAGCTGATATCCTCCTACCACCTTTCCGCCCTATTTCAAAGTCATGTGATACAATGCCCTAGAAGAACACCCCATCGTAGCTATATTTCACAGGAGATAACCTGGCAGAGTGGCGTAAATTAGAACCAAGACCCCTTTGAAATGCCAGTGCACTGTTTTTTTTTTAAATCCAGATCAGTGGAAGAGTCTAATTAATTTGGCAGAATTCTTGGGTCCTCGATTACAACATCTGCTCTGCTGTGGAATGATCCAGCACAACCATCTGTCTTTCACCATGCAAAGCAAGTGGCTGAGGGAAGATGTAATATTTTTCGACAGCAAAGAATAGAAATGAACACGATATCAAATTTAAAGCCATGTTCTTCAGACCGTCAAGGTTAACTACTGGAGTTATGCATAGACCAGCATATTGGATTGAGGAGACGTGGTTTGTGCCAGAACATTATTAGCGAAGTACGAGCAGCAAATCCACTCGATTGGAGCTCACAGGGTTCATTACCATTTTTGTCTCAACTAGTTAATCAGCATCGATCCCAATGTTATGCCTGAAGCATTCCTTTTTGAGGATCTCTCAAGCAAAATATAATCATGCTATCCTAAATGTGGTCTTCACTGTGAAATTTGCCAACAGCTCAATATCAATGAAAACAGCGGAAAAAAAATCTGCCTTCTCCCCATCATGACAGCCATGCCAGGAAACCCCCCAGTGTATACCTAATTATGCTGACAGAAGAGTACTTCTGTCAGTTTAAATAACCTTGTTCCGAGACACAGCTCTCTACCAATTCAGGGTGTTTCTCCTGTGGCTGCAAAGGTTGCATTACCCAGCAGAGCTGGATGTCCAATGGAGAGGACATGCCTGAGAGACGATCCTATGCTGTTCATAGCTGTGTCCTTCTAGACCAGGCTTTGCTTTGGCTCCCTCGTCTCCAGGCATGAGTGGTCAGGCATTGCAGTGTCAGTGCACGCAGTTTAATAGTCCATGTCAGAATGAAGAAGTGTGCTTAGTCCTTCTTTTAGAGGCCAAAATCCTGGTTTTCAGGAGCTATCAAGATCCAACATTTCCAGTGGGAAAGCATTGCTTGCACTGTGGCTGGAATGTTTCCATTGTAAAATTCCTGGTGCAAAATTCCTCTCTCACTGAGGTGAAAACTTTTGCAATCTGTA